ACCGTTTGCTTAGAGATCTGGAGCCAAAATAAACCCAAAGTTGCAGATGTTTGAGCAGGCCCTGGCAAATCTTTCCCCTAATGGAAAGAGACACACAGATCGAGCACTTGCAACCTTTAGGCAGATGGTACTTTGGCTGGTTAAGCCTGAGCTGCAAAACAGAACACTAATTGCGATACTGCAGTCTCAGAGCAAGCTGCGTCTGAGTGGTGGAGACGCTGCTACAGCTAAAGAAAAGAAACCTCCCATGGACAAGTCAGAGGCAGTTTTTTGTTCTTTTTTTTCTGTTTCTCCCTGTTTCTGGGCAATAAAAAGGAAAGGGAAGAGGAACTGCCCTCTGCAGTCCTGGTGATTTCTTGCTAAGTACATATATAAATGTGAGCATGTTGAAAGCACATTCTTAATAAAATTATTAATAACTCAGGATGGGAGGAGCCATCTGATGTGGGATCACAGGGGCGTGACTCTTAGTGTGTTCCCTATTTTTATGACTAGAAGCTGGTGTGCAGAGGGATGCTTGGTGACCAACTCTGGCTGTGCAGTGTGGGCTTGGACATTTTCCTGGGCACTGCCAGGGAACTGCCTTCTGAACCACCTGAGCGTCCAGGTACCTGAGCTTGCCTTGCTCCCAGCTGTTGTGCATGTGACTCCCCTGGGGGCTAAGAGGTTCTTTGAAATAAAATTTAAAAATAGTAAAACACACATGGCACATGTATGTGCACACACACACCCCACCCAGCAGAATTCATAGTTGTCTCCCACACAAGTCACATGAGACAGTCCCAGAAGCTGGAATAGGGTTCCCTGATGAGACAAAACTATTATAGAAAGAACTGGCACCAAGTAAACTAAAAAAAACACCACTAGCAGGAACCCAGGGAGTAGCATAAATGACAATGAGGAGACCTGAAAATGCCCAAGTTTAAGGAAGGTGCTCTAAAAAATGCAATTTAAGTGAAAGAATCACCTTGGGCAAACAGTCTGTAAAGTGAGGTGATCTGCCTAGGACCCACCTGAAGCGGCTTCAGGGAGCAAACAGCCCTGCCCCATCAGGAGTATGGGTGGGGATACGAGCCCTGTCAGTGTGTCAATAGTGCTCTGGCCAAAGGATATGAAAGGTCAGGACAGAGCCCCTGTGTCCTGACCATCCATGCTCCCTGCACAATGCCCAGTCCCCAAAGTCTTGATCATGAGAGAAAGAGAACAAGTCTGGCCAAGGGATAAAATCAGTCTTCAGTAAGTCAATATTTTATTCTTCACAGTAATTAGGAAATAGGAAATCTAAATTCTATGTTAATTTTCATGAGTCTGATCCCTGGGAGTGTGTCCTGGGTACAGGGCAAACCTGAGCACTTAATCTCAGTGCTGGGTTACACACAGGCACCTGTCCCCTACGAGTCCCCAGATCTGGGGTCCAGCCAGCCCCTGCTGTGATATCTTTCTTAAATCCCACCACCTTAGCATCACAGAGGCACACACACCACCACACAGTGTGGGAAGGTGCTGCTACATGTACAACAGCCATCAAGTGGGCAGCAAGATCCCTGAGCGAACAGGCCTCACTCCTCCACGCTCAATCTGTCACCAAGAACACCTGCTTGGACCTGCTTCACTGTCTTCTGTCATCTGGGTGTTGGCAGCAGCTGCCTCCTGACTCGCCTCCTGCACGCAGCCCCACCCTGCACGATACCTGCACAGTGATCACAGCTACGCCTGCTGCCTAGCACTGTGCTGCCAGCCCCACTGTGTCCCCACCATTGCAGCTGTGTGACTTGCAAGGCTCCGAGCTCTGGCATCAGACCTCTGGGAACCTGGCCAGGTGCCTCAGAGTCTGCTTAGCTCCAAGGGCTGGAGTGAGACACAACCCAACTCATGTATATCAGGTCCTTGGCAAACCAGGAATAGCTGCAACCAAGAACTACCAACCGGCCAGGCCTTGCTGCAGGCATGACCCCCATTGCCACCAGGCTCCGTAGTGCTGGCCTGCACTTCTCCAGGTTTGAGATCTCTCGCGCCTACAACCTTCCCACATGCTGGCCCCTGCCTGGTTTCTCCGTCATCCCACCACGCCCAGCCTATTCTATGACTTATGCTGCAGGTCTCACGTTAGATACCGCTTTTTGTTTTTTCTAGGACACATTCCCTAAATGCTCCAGTCCCCAAGACAGGGTTAATGTTTCTCCCTCTCCCCTCTTCATGACACAGGGGTAGCTGTTAACAGTCCTTACCATGCTACTCTATAAGTGGCAATTTTCTTTACTGCCAACCCTGGCAGGCCATAGCCGGAGCACCAGGAGTGTGTCTGAGTCCTGGCTTGGCTCCCACAGCACCTGATGTGATGAAGACAGATTTGTCAAGTGAAGGGATAAACAAATGAATGAGGTAAGCATGGCAGCCCGGGTGTATCTCCCCTGGTTGTATGCTGGGCTTCTGGGTTCCAGGCTAGAATGGCTCTGTGTCCCAAGAAAACTAAAGAAAAATCAGCCTGAGGAAACCACCCACCTCCCCTTCCATAGCAAGGTCTCTGTCAGGCTCAGAGGTTGCCGATTCCCCCCGCCCCTCCAGTGTGGCCCACAAGCACCTACTTGGTTTGGTCATGGATGGAAAAGGGACCTCTGGCTTCTAATATCTAAGCATAGTCAACAAGT